TTCTTCTTCTCCTTACTGGTTCGGACTACTGTAGCTACAGTAGAAACAGTGGCAATAAGGGTTTAGTGTATGAGAATTTCGAACCTTACTCTCTCTCTAACACTATTTTATTAAGTTAAATTTGAATAATTACAAGGAGGCCCTTAGTTGGGCAAGAAATTACAAAGAACATAACATAGAAAGGATGGGCCCAGAATAAGGCCCATTACAGAAAGGAACATAAACAGTAAGAAAGGATAAACAGCCTATGGGCCATTCGGCCCATCTTCTCTACAAAAATTTTGTGCTTTTTGCTTTTTTTTGAGCCTAACGGCTGGGCCGGGGCCCTGTCCCCAGACCCCTTGCCCACGTCCCTCGAGGCAAGCCCAAACAAGTCCATGTTAGGGTCTTAAATTCTTATTTCTCACATAAAAAATCATGATTTTATAATTTTAATTGCCTTTTAAGAAGATATTTTATTGGAACGAATGAATGAACAATATTAGCAAATAGGGGCGGTGGTACAAAGATGACTCATAGAATCAAGAATGCAATATGCTTTACATCACATTAGCTACTTGAAGTAATGCAATTGAGGAAAAAAAGAGATTGTGGGTTTTACATGCTTGAAAATGCTTTATATGTTTGCTTTTATTTTTAAATTTTCATTTTTATATGCTTTACATGTTATGTTTATGTATTTTAATTTTAGATAATAGGTTTTTTAAAACATTTATTTTAAAATTTAAGTTTATATTTTTCATTAACATTGTTTAATATTTTTTGATTTGTTTGCATTTTTTAAAAATTTTTGGCATTTTTTGAATTTTCTGACTTTTTTTTTTATTTTTTAACATTTTTTTTATAATTTTGTGCCTTGCTTCAAAAAGGCGCATGCCTCGTCTTGCGCCTTCCGCCTTCCGCCTCAGGCGCAAATTGGCCCTTGTGCCTTTTATTTTTTGCGCTTTGCGCTTTTAAAACACTGGGTAAGTTGGCATTATTCTTCAGATGGCAGATTTCTTCTACACAAAAATTGGATCCTTTTGGAATAGGATTTCTTAATGAAAATTCTATTTTGTGATTAATTTGGTGAGGTATTCTGCATCAAACATTAGGCTTCATTGGAACTGAGTGGTCTGTAGAGGGGGATATGTATAACCTTGATTTATTGTATTTCTTCTTTTGGTCATTCTTTACAAAGAAAAAACATCAACATATACATCTAAGCTAATCGGAGAGCAACCTATAAAACTGACTCTGGAGGTTACCATCATTAAGCAATGCAGCTAATCAGGTCCTAGTTGTCTTTGATGCCCAGATACAGATACCAACATGGTTATGGTATAGGAAATGGTGATATGACTCTCCATTTCCTAATATCCCAGACATGGATATGAGTAGAGGTATCCCATTTAATATTATGTTTATTTATCTATTTTTGAAGCTAAGAGTCATTTCTCAGGACTTGTATCTTGAAGAATTAGTTAAAATTTTAACATTATGGATTTAAATAAATACCATTTTACATTTTACATATTATCAAAGTTCTAATTGTTATAAAGCATACTATAGAAGCATCCATGTTTTTTTATCAACAAAAAGTTGAGTTAATGGATTAAAAAGGTACTTAATACAACACGATCATTGGACATTTATTCCTATGTTCAAAACCCCATTACAAACCAGCCCAGAACAGCTGATGTCTTGTTACACCCTGTTTAGCCAAAAAACCAGCAAACCCATTCGCACTCCTTTTGACCTTCTTAAACTCACCCCTTATGTCTTTCACAATCTCAACCACTTCCCTCATCACATGTCTTAAAATCCAAGGGATATGTCTGCTGGTGTTTGCCCATGAAATGATTACTTTTTAATCCCCTTCTACCTCAATCAACCTGTAACCCAGTTGTCTGGCTAATCTGAGGCCAACGATTCAGCCTTCATTGAGTTTCCTAAGCCAACCGGTCCTAAAAATAATACCAGAATCCTTCCCTTAGAATATCTTATTATCCCTCCTATTCCTGCCATTCCCGGATTTCCACTGGAGCTCCCATCAAAGTTCAGATTAACTTTATTGCCTTCTGGAGGTTTCCAAATCACTCATACTCTATCTAAACTTCTTGAAGAATGAGCTACTTCAGTCCAAGCTCTTAAGATGCCAGATATAGAAAAAGTTTGAAAGCAATCCAAGGTCTGCTTACTATCTATCACTTCCTCCAGAGTTCTGCTTTTTTCAGAGAAAATCCTGTTAATTCTTTCTTCCCAAGCCGTCCAACAGATTGCAGCTTTAGTGACTCTCCATAGCATTGTGTCCAATGCCATTATGCTAGGTATGTAGTAGTATTCAGTATTATAGGTCATAGTTGGCCTCCATGGAATGAAGAGATTATAAATTTACTTTTCATAAAGGATTGAGTCGATTGACATTGACCATGAAGAAAGTGCTAAGATAATTGTGGATTTGGTTGCTTACTGGATGATGCAATTGTGCAGATAGAGGGAAGTGTTGTGCATATTATGAAAGCATTGGGCAACCATCCTTCAGCTGCACAGAGTTTGATTGAGGATGATTCACTTCAATTACTGTTTCAGATGGTTACTAATGGCTCTTTGACTGTTTTTTCTCGATTTAAAGAGGGGCTTGTACCCTTGCACACCATTCAGCTTCATCGACATGCCATGCAGGTATTCACATCAATGGCCATTTTTATGTGCGGTGATTTGAGGCCCTAGAGGCCCTAGTAACTTTCTTTTTTTTTCAGTTTGGTATGCTTAATATTCAACATTTTATTTCCCTATGTTTTTGTGTTTCTTTACAGATATTAGGTCTTCTTTTGGTCAATGACAATGGAAGCACTGCAAAGTACATGCACAAACATCATCTGGTATGTCATGTATACATTTATTTCCAGGTTTAGATGCCAACTTCTAACTTTTTTATCAGTTCAATTCCTAATTTTCTTATTCCTCATTCTGGGGTCGTTTGCTTTTGAACTTTGTTTTTAAAAATCACTTATAATTTCTCTTCTTATTTCAAATACATCTCATCTGTTGATTTATTGGTATTATGATCAGATAAATGTTCTTTTAATGGCTGTCAAGGATTTTGACCCTGAAAGTGGTGACTCTGCTTATACCATGGGGATTGTAGACTTGTTGCTTGAATGTGTCGAACTGTCATTCAGACCTGGTAAGTGTTAATTACTTCTCGTGCTTTTCATGACCAATGATATCTTTCGGCAATATTCACTTTCCCATGTTCTACACCATAACTAGTTGATCATCAATATAGATGCCATGTATTTGTCTGTTGATCAATATTTTGAAAACCTGACTGGAATGCTGGTTGAACTGTGGAACCAGATCTGGTGGCATTTCTGGTCCAAAATATGGACTACCCAGATTCTACCTTAAATCTGATAACCTTGGTAAAAATGAGGTTCCACCATGAATAGTTCGACTTGTTTATATATTTTTCTACCTTTCCTTTCTCTTGATCTTTAATTAGTCACAGTTGAACCAGTGAACTGCAGTTCAACTGATTAATCTTGGACTATGGCCCCTTCTGGTTTGATGTCCATCTGATTTTTGTAATTTTTATGTTGATATAAAGTACTTAGTGAGTGCTGCAACATCTTGTTAATCGCATTGCTTTTTAGTAGTTGTACAGCCATGGACTAGTACTAACTTGGCAACATTTGTTTTGTCTTTTGCAGAGGCTGGTGGTATCAGGCTCAGAGAGGATATTCATAATGCTCATGGCTACCAGATTCTTGTTCAGTTTGCTTTAAGTCTTTCAAACTTGCATAAAAATCAGGAAACTGTATCTAATTATTCCAAGTTTTCTTCCGAGGAAAATTCTGCTTCAGATGGTAATATATCTTACAGTGTAGGAACTCAAGATTCAAAAAACAAATCTAGGGATCCTTCATCTCTACAAATTTCTCCATCACTTTCCAGGTTGCTTGATGTTCTTGTTAATTTAGCACAAACTGGTCCGACTGAACCAACTGGATCAGTTGGAGGAAAAGGCTCTAAATATTCCCATAGCAAGGCAGGTGGCCATGGAAGAAATACATTATCTTCTGATGGGAATGGTGAAGAAACTTGGGAAAAGGGCAATGCAAAAGTAAAAGATCTCGAAGCAATTCAAATGTTGCAGGATATTTTCCTCAAATCAGATAATGTAGCACTGCAAGCAGAGGTTTTGAATAGAATGTTTAAAATATTTTCTAGTCACCTTGAGAACTACAAGTTGTGCCAGCAGTTACGTACAGTGCCTCTTTTCATCCTAAACATGGCAAGCTTTCCTTCATCATTGCAAGAGATAATTTTGAAAATTCTAGAATATGCTGTAACTGTTGTGAATTGTGTTCCTGAACAAGAACTGCTTTCACTTTGCTGCTTATTGCAGCAGCCAACATCATCTGAATTAAAGCACACAATTCTTTCTTTCTTTGTGAAACTTTTGTCATTTGATCAACAATACAAGAAAATTCTGCGAGAAGTTGGTGTTTTGGAAGTTCTTATAGACGGCTTGAAGCAATACAATTTTTTTTCTGGCTCAGATCAGAATAATGGAAGCCCTAATAAACTGGAGAATTCAAGCAACTTCAAGAAGCACATGGACAATAAGGATACTATCATTTCCTCTCCCAAACTAATTGAATCCAGATCAGGGAAGATCCCCCTTTTTGAAACTGTGGATACGATAGCTGTTGCTTGGGATTGTATGGTCTCATTATTGAAGAACTCTGAAGCCAATCAATCATCATTCCGATCATCTAATGGTGTGAACATTGTTCTCCCATTTTTAATTTCTGATATTCACCGTCCAGGGGTTCTTCGGATACTATCCTGTTTGATTACTGAAGATGTTAAGCAGGTTTGTTATCATGTTACACTGATTGCAACTCCATAACTTTAATCAGATAAATTATGTTCATTGAGTTTTTGCATTCTCATCTCGTCTTATTCAAGCCTATGGCCCTATGAGTCTGACTGCTAGTTTTCAAAGATGAGCTTTTTATCTTTTTGCAGAAGTCATGCATATATGCATATATACATGTACATCTGCGTTTATATAAAAGTGTATGTGTATGATCCAAATTTTTTGATGAGAAAATCCACTATACATCACCATTAACAATATGAAGAGTATCTAAAAAATTGAAGGTTCCAGTCGCTTCAGCTGGTAAAGTCAGTGGATGCAGTTCCCACTAACCTGGCATCAAATTCCACTCCCCTCAAATTAAAGTTTTATTTTTTTTTTTGCTAAACCATTTTCTGTCAATAATCAATCTATTTTCATTTTACCAGGCTCATCCAGAAGAATTGGGTTTGCTGGTTGAAGTATTAAAAAGTGGAATGGTGACAACTGTTTCTGGATCCCAGTTTAAGCTTCAAAATAATGCAAGATGTGATACTTTGGGAGCGTTATGGCGCATTTTAGGAGTAAACAATTCTGCTCAGAGGGTCTTTGGTGAAGCCATTGGATTTTCTCTTCTACTAACAATACTCCATAGTTTCCAGAGTGAAGGTGAACAGATGGATGGCCAATCATCTTTACTTGTTCACATGAAGGTGTTTACATTTCTATTGCGGGCTGTGACAGCTGGAGTGTGTGGCAATGCCATCAACAGGACAAGGCTACATACAGTTATATCGTCTCCAACCTTAATTGATCTTCTGTCTGAATCTGGTTTGCTCTGTGTGGATTATGAAAACCAGATCATCCAGTTGCTGCTGGAACTTGCTCTAGAGATTGTGCTTCCACCATTCTCTGGCTTAATGCCAGAGGTTGCTCCATCATCTGATATGATTGAATCTGGGTCAGCTAGTTTTCTTTTTAGTGCTTCACCTTGTTTTCTTAATCCTCAGAGGGAACGAGTCTATAATGCTGGTGCCATAGGAGTGCTGATTAGGTCTTTGTTACTGTTTACCCCAAAGGCACAGCTAGAAGTTCTAAGCTTCATCGAGAAGCTTGCTCATGCTGGGCCATTTAATCAGGAAACTCTAACTTCTGTGGGTGAGTATGGTGTTTGTTTTTCTATTTTACTTTGCTTAGTTTGTAAATTCTGTTCTCATTTTTTTCATGTAGGTTGTGTGGGACTTCTTCTGGAGACAGTGAGACCATTTCTTATGGGGTCATCCCCATTGCTTACCCATGCTTTGCAGATTGTGGGAGTTCTTGGGGCATACAGGTAGTTACCTTGCTCGATGTAACTGGTATATTTTGCATAATCTATTTTAGAATGATGAATTTATGGCTACAAAATTTAAAACTGAATATCCTTCTTGTAATAGGTTGTCTTCATCAGAGCTCCGAGTACTTGTTAGATATATTCTGCAAATGAGGCTGATAAATTCGGGTAATATTCTTGTTGAAATGATGGAGAAGTTAGTTCAAATGGAAGATATGGCCTCTGAAAATGTTTCTCTAGCACCATTTTTAGAGATGAACATGAGCAAGATTGGACATGCTTCTGTTCAAGTATCTTTGGGAGAAAGAACATGGCCTCCTGCTGCTGGTTATTCATTTGTCTGTTGGTTTCAGTATCGAAATTTCTTCAAATTACAGACAAAGGATCCAGAAAATCCTTTGCCAACTGGTTCTTCTAAAAAGCAAAGTACCTCTAATGGGCAGCAACTGGGATGCCATATTCTCCGGATCTTTTCTGTTGGTGCAGTGGATGATAGCAACACATTCTATGCAGAATTTTATCTTCAGGATGATGGTGTTTTAACTCTTGCTACCAGCAGCTCCTGTTCCTTGTCTTTTTCTGGATTGGAATTGGAGGAAGGCAGGTGGCATCACCTTGCTGTTGTCCATAGTAAACCCAAAGCTTTAGCTGGACTTTTCCAAGCTAGTGTAGCATATGTGTATATCAATGGAAAACTGAGACATGCAGGAAAATTAGGGTATTCACCATCCCCATCTGGGAAATCATTGCAGGTAACAATTGGGACACCAGTTACTTGTGCAAAAGTTAGTGAATTGTCATGGAGACTCCGCTGCTGTTATCTTTTTGATGAGGTTCTGACATCAGGTAGTATTTGCTTAATGTATGTTCTTGGTAGAGGATATAGAGGACTCTTCCAAGATACAGATCTTTTACAATTTGTTCCTAACCATGCTTGTGGTGGGGGTAGCATGGCTATCTTGGATTCATTGGATGCTGAGTTACCTATGACATCAAACATTCAAAAACTTGACAATGGTGCTAAACAAGGGAACCCTAAGTCTGATGGTAGTGGGATTGTTTGGGACTTAGAGAGACTTGGAAACCTTTCATTACAGCTTTCTGGAAAGAAGCTTATATTTGCATTCGATGGAACATCCTCAGAAGCTTTTCGAGCCACCGGGACTCTTTCTATTCTCAATTTAGTTGATCCATTGTCAGCTGCTGCTTCTCCTATTGGGGGTATGCTATTAGGCCTCAACTTTGGCAACAAACTTATTTGTAATTTGATCTTTCTTTCAGGAAAATGTGCCAAGTTTTTATTTAAAGTTCCTTGTTTTGTAATTTTCAGGTATACCACGCTTTGGTCGTCTTCATGGGGATATTTACATATGTAGGCAATGCGTGATTGGTGATAGCATCCGCACAGTTGGGGGGATGGCTGTTGTCCTGGCTCTTGTTGAAGCTGCTGAAACCAGGGACATGTTACACATGTCCCTGAAACTACTTGACTGTGCACTTCGTCAGAATCCTCAGAATGTGAGAGACATGCAAGCCTACAGAGGATATCACTTACTTGCTCTCTTTCTACGCCGTAGGTTGTCATTGTTTGACATGCAGTGTCTTGAGATCTTTTTTCAGATTGCTGCTTGTGAGGCTTCATTCTCTGAACCACAGAAGTTGCAAGGCAATCAACCTGTTGCCTCTCCTATTGGAGCTAATCAGGATGTTGTCTATGATGACCTTACTTTGTTAAAGTTTTCTGATGAAATTTCCTCATTTGGATCTCATGTAGATTTGGATGATTTTTCTGGGCAGAAAGATTATTCATTTAGCCACATTTCAGAGCTTGAAAATGCTGATATGCCTACAGAAACATCAAACTGTATTGTTCTGTCAAATACAGATATGGTTGAGCATGTCTTATTGGATTGGACTTTGTGGGTGATGGCCTCAATTCCAATTCAAATTGCCCTAATTGGATTTTTTGAACATTTGGTATCCATGCATTGGTACAGAAATCATAATCTTACAGTCTTGCGCCGAATCAACCTTGTCCAACATTTACTAGTAACTTTGCAAAGGGGCGATGTGGAAGTTCCTGTTTTGGAAAAATTGGTTGTATTGCTTGGAGTCATTTTAGAGGATGGCTTTTTAGCCTCTGAACTGGAATATGTTGTGAAGTTTGTGATTATGACATTTGATCCCCCTGAACTAAGACCACAACAACAAATTGTTCGAGAGCCAATGGGGAAGCATGTTATTGTACGGAATATGTTACTGGAGATGCTTATTGATTTACAAGTGACTATAAATTCTGAAGATTTGGCTGAGCAGTGGCATAAGATTGTTTCCTCCAAGTTGATCTTTTATTTTCTTGATGAAGCTGTTCATCCAACCAGTATGAGATGGATCATGACTCTTCTTGGTGTTTGTCTTGCTTCTCCTACATTTTCACTTAAGTATCGTAGCAATACAGGTTATAATGGATTGGCACATGTGCTTCCAAGCTTCTATGATTCCCCAGAAATATACTACATCCTCTTTTGTCTAATATTTGGGAGGCCTGTTTATCCAAGATTACCAGAAGTCCGGATGTTAGATTTCCATGCCCTTATGCCAAATGATGGAAGTTCTGTAGAACTTAAGTTTGTGGAGCTGTTGGAATCTGTGATTTCTATGGCAAAATCTACATTTGATAGGTTAAGCATGCATGCAATGCTTGCCCACCAAACAGGTAATATTTCACAGGTCAGTGCTAGCCTTGTGGCTGAACTTGTAGAGGGAACAACAGACATGTCAGGAGATCTTCAAGGTGAAGCTCTGATGCATAAGACATATGCGGCACGTCTAATGGGTGGAGAGGTAGCAGCTCCTGCAGCAGCGACTTCAATCTTAAGATTCATGGTTGATCTGGCAAAAATGTGCCCCCCTTTTTCTTCTGTATGTAGAAGAGCAGAATTTCTTGAAGGTTGCACAGATCTGTACTTTTCTTGTGTAAGGTGTGTCTTTTATTTCTTTTTTCTTTTCTTTTTTTTTTTTTTTTGCATAAGGTGTATCTTGTGATGCCCTATTTTTATAGATATGCAGCATGGCTTTCTTCTAGAATTTGTTAGGGCACTCAGGGGCCATTTTATAATGGCTGAAGTTGCTAAACTGAAAGACTTATTGCCTTTTCTTTTAGTGATAAAATTAAACAATAAAATTTTTAAGGGTGTAGTGATCTAGTGATCCACCCAACTTCAGCTTCACCCATTAAGGAGCCCACAACCTCCTTGAAAACTTATTCAATAAAAGACAAAGCAACAAGCTTTTCAGTTCAGCCACTTCCAGCTATTATCAAAGATATCACTTTACTCTCAAGGTTTAGTTTTTTGCAGTTTCCAGTTGCTTGTATTTCTGAATAGATATCCATGCCTTGCAGGGCTGCTTGTGCAGTGAAGATGGCAAAAGACCTCTCAGTAGGAACAGAGGAGAAAAACTTGAATGGTTCTGATGAAACCCACAGTTCTCGGAATACAATCTCCAGCTTGCCTCATGAACAGGAACAATCGGCCAAAACATCCATAAGTGTTGGTAATTTTCCTCAGGGACAGCAATCCAGAGGTTCTGAAGATGTGCCTGGGCCTCAAAGTTATTTGGTCAGTGATAAGGTAGATGAAAAGGAAGCTTTACCTCACGAGGAATCAAGCAAACCCCTTCTGGAAGAAGATGGTGAGGCTGTGCAGAATTTTGATGTTGAAAGTCTTGATCAGATATCTTTAGTCACTTCAGGCAATAAGGAGTTTAATTTCCCCAATATTAATGGGATGTCTGGTTCTGTTCATCCAACATATTCACTTTCTGTCCCTGATTCTCCCACTTTATCTGAGAAGTCTAATCCTAGAGTTTCATTCTTGCCCTCTTCATCACCATCCACAGTGGTTGCTCTGACATCTTGGCTTGGAAGCACTAGCAATAGTGAAGTAAAAGCTCAACCAGTTGCTACTCCATCCATTGTGTCTTCTATGCCCATCAATGAATTTGATGCATCTCAAGATTTAAAGTCAAGCTCTCAATTGTCATCTGCTGCCTACACTGTTTTAGCTGTTAATCCAAGGCTTTTACTTGAAATGGATGAATCTGGTTATGGTGGTGGACCATGTTCTGCTGGAGCTACTGCCATTTTAGATTTCATGGCTGAAGTTCTTGCTGATATTGTGTTGGAGCAAATAAAAGCAACACAATTCATTGAGAGCATTTTGGAAACTGTTCCTTTGTATGTGGATGCAGAGTCTATGTTGGTTTTCCAGGGTCTATGCTTAAGTAGACTGGTGAACTTTCTCGAAAGGCGCCTTTTGCGTGATGACGAGGAAAATGAGAAAAAACTAGATAGAAGTCGGTGGACCGCAAATTTGGATACATTATGCTGGATGATTGTAGATCGTGTATACATGGGTGCATTTCCTCATCCACGTGGTGTACTAGCAATTCTGGAATTCTTATTATCCATGTTACAACTAGCCAACAGGGATGGTCGAATTGAAGAGGCAGCTCCAGGAAAAGTTCTTCTATCCATCACAAGAACAAGCAGACAACTTGACACATACATCCATGCACTTCTGAAAAATACAAATCGTATGATAATGTACTGTTTCCTGCCATCTTTCTTAATGATCATCAAGGAAGATGACCTTCTTTCATCTCTAGGCTTGCATCTTAAACCTAAGAAAAGTCTAGCTTCATTTTCTTCACAAGAGGAGTCAAGGGTTGACATCTGTACAGTCTTACAGTTATTAGTTGCTCATAAGAGAATAGTGTTCTGCCCTAGCAATCTTGATACAGATCTAAATTGTTGTCTTTGTATATATTTAATCTCTCTTCTCTGTGACCATAGACGCAGTGCACAGAACATGGCAATAGATATTTTTAAATATATGCTGGTGCATCGTCGGGCTGCATTAGAGGATTTACTTGTATCTAGATCAAACCAAGGGCAGAATTTTGATGTTCTTCGTGGTGGTTTTGACAAACTATTGACTGGAACTTCCTCCATGTTCTTTGAATGGCTCTATAGTTCTGAGCAAGTGATCACTAAGGTTCTGGAGCAATGTGCGGCTATTATGTGGGGGCAGTATATTGTTGGATCAGCAAAGTTTCCTGGGGTAAGAATAAAAGGCATGGAGGATCATCGTAAGAGAGAAATGGCAAGAAGATCAAAGGATGCATCAAAGTTAGATATAAAACGCTGGGAGCAAATAAATGAGCGGCGTGAGTCTCTTGAATCGGTTCGCGATGCAATGTCAACTGAATTGAGAGTTGTTCGCCAAGACAAATATGGCTGGATTCTCCATGCTGAGAGTGAATGGAAAACTCATCTCCAACAACTAGTGCATGAGAGAGGAATATTTCCAATGCATACCTCAACTGAAGAACCTGAATGGCAGCTTTGTCCCATTGAAGGGCCTTACCGGATGCGCAAAAAGCTTGAACGTTGCAAATTAAAACTTGATATAATTCAGAATGTTCTTGCTGCACAGTTTGAATTGGGAGAAGTGGAGCTATCTCAGGGGAAGACTGAGAATGGTCTAGATGAAACTGATTCTGCCTCATTTTTTCACCACATATCCACTGGTGCCAAAGGGAAGCTATTTGATGGTGCTGAGTATGATCAGTCATTTTTTAAGGAAACAGATGGTGTTAAAGAAGGAGATGTTGCATATGGTTTCATTGGGTTGAATGATGACCGAGGTAGCAGTATAAATGAAGCTAGTCTTTACTCTGCACTTGAGTTTGGTGTCAAGTCCAGTGTTGTTTCTATCCCAATGACTGAAAGCATTTATGGAAAATCTGACCTAGGTTCTCCAAGGCTCTTCTCATCTGCAAAAGTTGACGAGATGAAAGTTACAGATGATAAGTTGGATAAAGAATTGCATGACAATGGTGAATATCTAATTAGGCCTTACCTTGAACCTCTTGAAAAGATAAGGTTCAGATATAATTGTGAGCGTGTTGTAGGTCTTGACAAGCATGATGGTATATTTCTCATAGGGGAGCTCTGTCTGTATGTTATCGAGAATTTCTACATTGATGACTCTGGGTGCATATGTGAAAAGGAATTTGAAGATGAGCTCTCTGTGATAGATCAGGCTTTGGGTGTAAAGAAGGATTTTACAGGTGCAGATTTCCAGTCAAAATCACCTTCTTCATGGGGTTCAACTTCTAAGGCATGGGTTGGGGGAAGGGCATGGGCATACAATGGTGGTGCATGGGGGAAGGAGAAAGTTTGTACTAGTGGTAATCTGCCCCATGCTTGGCGCATGTGGAAGCTTGATAGTGTTCATGAGCTTTTGAAACGAGATTATCAATTGCGTCCTGTTGCTGTGGAGATATTCAGCATGGATGGTTGTAATGACCTTCTAGTCTTTCATAAAAGGGAGAGAGAGGAAGTGTTCAAAAATTTGGTTTCCTTGAATCTTCCAAGGAATAGCATGTATGTATCTTAACCTCCTCTTCTGAAGGGCTCAGTTGTTTCTTTTTGTATTTTTCTTTGTTTTACTGCCATGCTGTCTTGGTCCATATTTTTGTTCTTATGGTTTATAAAGTCTGAGAATATTTTGTTCTATGTAATAGTAGGTCTGCCATGCCTTTTGTTTCTTTAATGAGAGTACATTATCTCTATATTAGTTTATTCATTCCACAACATCTTCTCTGGGAAATATGTTAAACAATACATATGCTCAATAGAGCAGCGTATGGTAGACTGATTGTAACACATGCAGCTTGTCTTTCTGAGTCTGACTTTAAATTATTCTGATTTATCTGTGTTCATTGTCTTCTTTCTTTGACTTGCTTCTAGCAAACCCTTTTGATTGTGGAACTCAAGATCATAACAAATTCATAATATCCATTCATGCAACAGGTTAGACACAACTATTTCAGGAACACTGAAACAAGAAGGGAATGAAGGAAGTCGTCTTTTCAAGATTATGGCCAATTCCTTCTCAAAGAGGTGGCAGAATGGCGAGATTAGCAATTTCCAATACCTCATGCATCTCAACACCCTAGCAGGACGTGGATATAGTGATCTTACTCAGTATCCAGTGTTCCCATGGATTCTTGCAGACTATGAGAGTAAAACTCTGAACTTGGATGATCCCAACACATTCCGTAAGCTTGACAAGCCAATGGGATGCCAAACAACAGAGGGGGAAGAAGAATTTAAGAAAAGGTTGCTATAACATATATCTATCATGTTACCATTTTTTTTTCTTTTTATGTGATTTTATTTTTTATTTCTCATCTGTGACCAAATTTTCTATATGGTTAAATAAATTGATCATCTGCTACTTGCTTCACTGGCATGGTGCTAATATCATCTTCCCTGCAAAGAGATCTATGCAACCACCCTGATGTTCTTATTTTATTTTATTTTTTTGTCTTCTCTTGTTATATCAGATATGAGAGCTGGGATGACCCAGATGTTCCGAAGTTTCACTATGGTTCACATTATTCTAGTGCGGGAATTGTACTATTTTATCTTTTACGCCTTCCACCATTCAGTACAGAGAATCAGAAGCTGCAAGGAGGCCAATTTGACCATGCCGATCGCCTTTTCAATAGTGTAAGAGATACATGGTCAAGTGCAGCAGGGAAGGGTAATACATCAGATGTGAAAGAGCTCATTCCAGAATTCTTTTACATGCCCGAGTTCCTGGAAAACCGGTTTAATCTTGATTTGGGGGAGAAACAATCAGGAGAGAAGGTTAATTTTGACTTCTAATCTTTAGTTAATTTTGACTTCTAACAGATATTTCTGAGAACTGTACTGTTGAAGGGTACCATTGGTTGCAAAATTTTGACATGTTTCATTTTGCTGAAAATTGTAATTTGGTATTTGCTCAGGTTGGTGATGTTCTGTTGCCACCATGGGCCAAAAGTAGTGCCAGAGAGTTCATCAGGAAGCACCGGGAAGCTTTGGAATCAGATTATGTTTCAGAAAATCTGCATCATTGGATAGATCTTATCTTTGGATATAAACAGAGGGGAAAGGTAGTTATTGAAATTTCCTTTGTTTAAGCCTTTTTCTGCATTGATATTTGATTAGCAGCCAACTCACATTGAATGGATCCTCTGATAACTATTTATCATAGTGGGAGGATATGCTTTCATCTACTTTAAGACTTTATTTTATTTTGTTTTTTTTATCAGGAAAGTAGATTTTATTATTGAAATTTAAATTTAGTAAAATATGCTGGAATATCCAACAACACAAAAATTCATAAGAGGTTTACAAAGATGCCCAAAACAGTTACCATCTCATGGGCCCCTGCTTTGCTTGAGCATGAGCCATCCCATTTCCTGTTTTTCTCACCCATTTGAAATTAGCATTTAAGTGCATTGTCAGGTTTTCAACTTCCTTGAAAGCATGCCTGAATGTCCGAGGTACATGACCGATGCACTTTGTCCAAGATATGACTAACTTTGAGTTCCATTCCACTTCCAATTGTTGGAAGCCCAATTGCTTTGCAATTCTTAGGCCTTGCAGTAATGCCACTAATTCAGCTTTCAAAGAATCTCTTACTCCATGGTACATGACAACTGGAATGCTTGGAAGAACTGGTGGGGCAATTTTCCATTTCAATAAAAATTAGGAGATCCAATGATGGCAGAGAGTGGGCTTTGACACATGTTTATGGTTCAAATTCCTATAGAGACAGGGATTTTTTTGGGAAGAGTTGGGGGCAATTAAAGGTTTATGGGAGGGGCCTTGGTATTTGGGAGGTGATTTTAATGTCGAAAGATTTACATCAGGAATCAACAAAACAAACCAAAGAATAACTACAAGCACGAGAAAGTTAAATGCTTTCAGGGATATCTTTGAGTTGAAGGAGGAGCTCCCACTGCTACAAGTAGAGTACACCTGGTCAAATTTATAGGAGTCCTCGACTTGCTCTAAATTGGATAGATTCCTTTTTTTAGTAGATTGGAAAAGATTTGAGAAAGTTTAGCCTCTCGAGCCTTGCCTAGAGTAGCCTCCCTATTAGCCTAGCTCAGAATTTTTCCTATGAAGGTCCCTCACCCTTCAAATGCGAAAACATGTGATTGGAGGACCCCACCTTTGTGGAGAAGGTAAGAGTTGGTAGGGAAAAGTTAAGGGTAGTGGTACAAAGAAGGGGTTAAGGTTCTCTAGATGCTTGAAAAAGTTGAAAGAGAAAATTAAGGCTTGGAACAAAGAACAATTTAGGAGGGTGAAGGAAACAAAGAAGACAATCTCTTCAAGGATAGTGGAGTTGGATGGTAAAGAAGCTGTTAGAGAATCAGTGAGAGGAAAGAGATGAAAGGCAGAATTTAAAGTTTGAACAGGAAAAGTTGTTGAGACAAGAGGAAATTTCCTGGAGGCAAAAATCTAGATGTAAATGGCTGGAGGAGGGAGATAGTAACACAAATTTTTCTTTTATTCTCTAGCTAGTGGAAGGAGGAAGAATCTATTAGCTAGCATTGAAGTGGATGGTCAAGGGGTAACAAGGGAGGAGGAGGTGATCAAAGTTTTTGTGGACCATTTTAAGGCTTGCTTTGCCACCTCAATGGTGCGAAGCTCAAACCTCCCAGACTTGGCTTGGGATAGAGTGTCAGAGGACCTCTTTGCAAGCCTGGAAAGTATGTTAACACTTGGGGAGATTAAGGAGGTAGTGTTTTTGATGGAAAGATCTAAAGCCTCGAGACTGAATGGATTCTCCATGGATTTTTATCAAGAATGTTAGGAAATCATAAAAGATGGCCTAGTGGAAGTTTTTAATGAGCTTTTTCATAAAGGGGAAAGCTCTCAAGGAGCAAATTCAACTTTTATTGCTTTGATCCCCAAGAAAAATGTAGCTAAAGTACCTAAGGATTTTAGACCCATAAGCCTAGTGGATAGTCTCTACAAGATAATAGCAAAGGTCATGTCTGAAGATTTAAAAAGATATTGCCTTTGGTGATCTCACAATTTCAAGGAGCTTTCATCGAAGGGAGATAGATCATTGATCAAATCTTGGTGGCAAATGCATGTGCAACAGAGAAGAGATTGAGGGGAAAGGGTTTAGTTTGCAAATTGGATTTAGAGAACGCATATGACCAGGTGAATTGGTCTTTCTTTCTTGAAATCTTAGCGAAAATTGAGTTCGGTGACAGGTGGAGGATGTGGGTCAGAGGGTGTTTAAGTTTAGTTCATTATTCAATTTTGATAAATGGAGAGGTGATAGTCACCCTTTTGCAGTTTGCATATGATATAATCTTGTTGTGTGAAGGAGGCAATAAAAATGACTTAAGGAATTTAAAGGAACTCATTGCACTCTGGATTTTTGGAGGTGAGGAATTGGCCTTTGGATTATCTTGGTCTTCCGTTAGGGGGAAACCCGAGAATAGAAGATTTTTGGAAACCAATAGTAGAGAGATATACTAAAGGACTAGCACTCTGGATAAGAAGTTACATCTTAGTGGGTGGAAGAATAACTTTAATTGAGGCAACTTTAGCTAACCTACCTATTTACTACCTTTCCACCTTTAGGATTCCAGCTAGAGTTGCGGGTCAACTAGAGAAGATCATGAGGGATTTCCTTTGGGAACCACGGGATGAGAAGAGGGACCATTTGGTGATGTGGGAGCAAATTTGCAAACCCAAGGCACAGGGTGGGCTTGGAATAGACAATCTAATTTGCAGGAATACAACACTGTTAGGGAAATGGTTATGGGGGTTTCCTTTGGAGAGTGATAGGCTTTGGCATAAGGTAATTGCAAGCATTCACGGGACGTTGAATAATAGATGGGATGCAAAATTAGCCTCTTCTTCAACGTCATTCTCTCCTTGGAAATCAATACAGTGGTATACCCAACTTCTATTAAGTTCACTAGATATTATGTGGATGTGGGACTCAAGTATTGTTCTGGGATGAAACCCCCCTTTAGTTTGCTTTTCCTAGCCTTTACTCATTCTCTAACTTAAAAAGTAGCCTGTCTCGAAATTTGTTACCTTCTCTCCCTTAGGGGTAAATTGGGACTTCGAGTTTAGAAGGGGTTAAGGGACAACGAGTCTGAGGCACTTAATCAATGTTGGACAAACTTTTTTTTATCAGCAAAATAAATCTTATTAATTATATTAATTGGTGAAAACTGAATACAGATTGGTTTCAGTCCCCCCAATAAGATATTAGCTAACCTCAACCAAGGTTACAATAGTTCCCCAAAACAACTGCTGTCTAGTTAATGAGAGATAGTAAACAGCCCTGGAAAGACCACTGGAGTGAGACTAAGAGATGGAAGAAGGCTTCGAGGAGACTAAGAGATGGAGAAAAAAATTGAAGATAGAAGCAACAGATCTTCTGTTCAATGAAATAAGGATTAAAGGCTCTTGTAGTGTGAAGGTAAGGGATGCTAAGAAGGCAACAGTCATGGTAGAAGGTATAGAGCAATGTTTTAAAACGCGGAGGCGGGATGCGAGGCATTCCACTACCTAGAGGCGTGAGGCGTAGTTCAAACCGCAAGAGGTGTAAGCCTCCCGAACACAAGGAGGCATAAGCCTCCTTAAGAGGAGGAGGGGGGTTAGGAGGAGGATGAAGAGGAAGGGGGGATCTCATTTTTTTCTTTATTTTTTAATAAAAATCTTTTATATTAAGAGGAAGGGGGCAAGGGGCAAACCACTTTCTTTCCCCTTATCTTTTCTTCCCTTACCTTACCTTTCCTTTCCTTTTTTCTTTTTTTTTTCTTCTCTTTCTTTTTCTTTCCCTTCCCTTTCTTTTCCTTTCCTTTTTTTTTTCTTTTTTCTTTTTTTTCTGTCTTTTTATATCAGATGTGCATGAGGCGCATGAGGTGTACGTCTCTAGCACGCCTCATGAAAAAAACGCAAGAGGCGTACGCCTCTTGCACTTGAGGTGTACACCTCAGAGGTGTCAGCGCCTCTGGCATACGCCTCAGGGCGTTTTGGGAGCGCCTCACCTGGAGATGCCTCCCACACCTTTTAAAACACTGGTATAGAGACAGTAAAATGGCTCACTACGTTTGTGTCTAAGGCAGCTTCCAAGGGCAAGCAGACTTATTGGTAGGGGTGAACCGAATCGAACTGAACCGGACCAATATATGTATTTATATGTATATTATATATATATATATATATATTTCACATATTATCTATATATTATACCTTAATATATATGTATTATATATAAATGTATACATATATTATATATATTTATAACATTTATAATATAAATATACATATTTATAATATACTATATGTCATTTATTATTTATAATATAATATTATATACATTTATAATATATGTTATAAAATAAAAAACCAAAAAACCGAAGAACTGAACTGGTTAGAAACCAAAACCAACCAACTGGTTAACAGGTAGTATCGGTTCGGTTTTGGTTTGGGGATATGGGAAAAATGGTAGGACTGGTTCGGTTTAAAAAAAAAAAAAAAACATTATGGTTCGGTTAACCGAACCGTGAGTACCCCTAGTTACTGGAAGGATAGACTGGAAGAATTAGGGAGAAGATACGTGGTCGAATGTAGGAAGAATGCCAAAGGATGTTTTATTGCATTCTCGGAATACTTTACAAAGGGAAGGAAGCAACTGGTAGGTTTCCCTGAGGGAAGAAAGGGTCAAGGATGTAAGCAGTAGCTGGTGTGCTTATGAACATTTTGGATCAACGGAGTATTAAAACAACAGAGGTTCCAGTAGAAGAGGTTGGTTATACTGCTCCTGAAGGCAGTGCACAACCTTCAAACTGGGATTTCTTGGTGTTGGCACACAATAAAGATTAGTCTTCCTTGGCTGTGAACTTGGGAGGAGGAAAGTGGACAGGTAAATTAGTGGTTGAAGCAAACAACCTTGTCACTGACTGGAGGAAGGTTGCTGAGTTCTTGATGGTAAAGTTGAAGTTAAGAGACACTTTCATCCTCACCCCCTTTAGCAGTTGCAAAGCTGTTTTAGATCTTCTAAAAAACTCAGCACAAGTAGAAGCTGTCTGCTTTCATGATGTTCTGGGGACCTTCACAATTTCTA